AACGGCCGATCTTCAGGGTGTGGGACGCTGGCTTGCTCGCCCTTCCGCCGCCCTTTGCCCCCATCCTCCCTGCATCCGCTTTTCTCTTTCGTTTCAGCACCATCTTGGGCTTAGTGCATCCGCTTTTCTCTTCCGTTTCAGCACCCTCTTGGGCTTAGTGCCCAGCTGGCGGCTGGCCCAGCGCAGAGGGGGGCAAGGTGTAGGTCGAGGGTGGGGGGAGTGGGCAGGGTCCGGGGCCTTGTGGCGTTGCTCCCCCTTCATCCCGTCTCGCCTCCGCAAGTTGTTACCTCAGCCCAGCCCCACTCTCGACTTCTGGTCGGGATGGCGGTTGGTCCGGGCACGGACAGCCCTGTGGGAGGGTCAGGGACGGGATGTCGGGTGGTGGCGGCTGTCCACGGCCTGCATACCCCCGCTCCGTTCCCGTCTCAGCTTTGTCCACACCTCCTTTCCATCCCGGCCTCAACCTCGGCTTTGTGTGGAGCTTGCGGCTTGTTTGGCGATCGAGGGTCGTGGTAGAGGCTAGGGGCGGGGTGTGTTGCGGGGTCCTCGGCCCCTCCCCGTTTCGTCYTGCCTTCCTTCCCAACGGGGTACTCCTTTCGGGACAGATCGTCGTCCTTGACACAGTCGAGGTGGTTTGAATCTCGGGGTGGAGGGCCGTTGTGGGAGGGTTTTGGTCGTGAACGGGGCGGTGTCGGGTGGGAGGGGGGGAGGAGATAGCGCTTGCACCCTCGTTGCCCCGCTGCTCCCCGGTGCCCTGCCTGGCCCCCCGAACGGGGGGTCGGACGGGCCCGTGGCAGCGGCCGGTGGCGACGGCTTTGGAACTTCTTATTGATGTATTTGCTCTGATTTGTCGCTGTCCGGGTTGACGGCCCCCTTCTGTTCTGGTCGAGGGGTCATTCCTGTCGGAACGGCACCATATTGTAGAACTCTCGGCAAACGAATATCTTGGCCCTCGCAACGATGAAGAGCGCAGCGAAATACGATACTGAATGTGAATTGCAGAAATCCGTGAGCCATCGATACCTTGAACGCACGTGGCGCCCAAAGCTTCTGCCGAGTGCACGCCCGCCAGAGCATCATTGGATTCCTCACGACCTCAGCACCTTCCGTTTCGGAGAGTGGTGGGGTTCATGGTCGTGGCTTCCCTCGCTTCCCACTTGGAGAGCGTCGATAGCCTAAAGTGGAAGGGAATTGGAGAGCATTCCGAGCGGGTCTGTGGGGGCCGCAGCCCAGAGTGGTGCGTTTCGCTCCGCCCTGTTGTTGCCCTCCAGCACCCGTTTGTGGGTGGTGGTCTGTGTTTCCCTGAAAACGGCACGTAAGGTCGTCCTTCCGGTTTGTGTGGTCGCCGCCTTCCGTTCGCTCCCATCAGCTTGAGGTGGGCTTGCGGTTGGGGGTGTCGGCCTAGCTGTGGAGGTACGTCGGGCCTTGCCTTTTGATCTCAGCCCGGGGGGGAGCACTCGCCCAATTTAAGCATATAACTAAGCGGAGGAAGAGAAACCAACGAGGATTCCCTTGGTAGCGGCGAGCGAACCGGGAATAGCCCACACTGAAAATCCGGGGGTTCTGTTGCTCCCTGAATTGTAGTCTTGAAAGGCAACCTCTGCAACGGGCCGTGTGCAGGTTCCCTGGAAGGGGACGCCGAAGAGGGTGACAGCCCCRTCGACCGCCGGACCCTGCTGCGCAACGAGGTGTTGTCGAAGAGTCGGGTTGCTTGGGAATGCAGCCCCAATTGGGTGGTAAGTCCMATCCAAGGCTAAATATGTGCGAGATACCGATAGCGAAGAAGTACCGAGAGGGAAGGATGAAAAGAACTTTGAAAAGAGAGTTAAAGAGTTCTTGAAATTGCCGACCGAGAAGCGGATGCAGGGGAAGTCGTGCGCTCCTGTCTGGGCAGGGGTGCCAGCCAGCATGGGCTGTTGTGACTGGCATTGCAGTGGGGAGCGATTGAAACCCCCCATGGGTGACCGTCACGGCAGTCGAGGACCTTAAGCACGCGCCTCTTTCGGCGGGCCCGTTCAGGTTCCTGCGTGTTCGGGATGCTGGCGAAATTCCTCTATCCTGCCCGTCTTGAAACACGGACCGAGGAGTTCAACGTGCATGTGAGCCGGTGGGTGATTAGCCCACGAGGCGGAAGAAACCTAAGTGGCGGGAACCCTCTGCGGGTGCACCGTCCGCCAACCACAATCTGCTGTGAGAGGTTTGAGTGTGAGCATGCCCGTTGGGACCCGAAAGATGGTGAACTATGCGTGAGCAGGGCGAGGCCAGAGGAAACTCTGGTGGAGGCTCGCAGCGTTACTGACGTGCAAATCGTTCGTCGGACTTGGGTATAGGGGCGAAAGACTAATCGAACCGTCTAGTAGCTGGTT